CGCTCTTCTTGTTAAGAACCCTTCCTGGACTCCCTCTCGTGCCACGTGATGGAATTTGATTTCAATTCGGGTTTGGTGAGTCACTTAGTCGTTAAACACAGTTGTCATATAATCTCACTTGGTGTGTGCGGCTAACGGTTAGCTGAACAGGACAGGCCCAGGCTGCTGTATTTTAATGTTGGTTTTACTAGTGATACTTTGAGAGAAAACAATTCTTGTGGTGGAACAGGAGGGAGGAGGGGGTGTCAGGGGTTAAGAACCGTTGCTGTAAAGCATGTCACCACTGGTGTCCACAGAAGTGACTGGTTTGTCAAACGCCTGGAGAATGTTGGAGCAGGTTGGGTCATGACTTCTGGTTCAAGACAGATTATAAAGTGACAAACAACTAGATAAATAATACTTCAAAGAGCAGACCCGTGAAAGATCAACAGCAGACAGTATGTCTTACTGTCCTGCCCTTATGTCCTCTATATTTCCTCACCCAGAGTCAACATGAGGTCAGTGATGTTTAAGGACCGTCTCAGGAGCACCGTGGATCTCTCACCACGATAATTACGCCGACAGCAACGCAAAAAAAAAAAAAATTATAGGGAGTTCAGCCATGATAAAAAAAAGGGCCTCATCATTTGTTTTGGTTTGTGTGTGTGTGTGTGTCTTTGTAGAGACAGAGGGGAGTTGGGTTGCATCAGAAATAGCGCTGCCACCTGCTGGGGATCACTGAAAGAAAAAAAAAAAAGATGACAGAACATTTGTTGTCCCCCACGTCTTCCTCTTTTTATTGCCTCTCTCCTCTAACCGAGGCGTTGTACTTTCAACTGCCGCTCAGTTTCATGCTTTGTCGTGTGGAGAACGGTTTTGATAATGTAGCACCGACACGAAACAGGAGCCGAGGTGGGATTCTGTTTGACATAATTTTAGTGAATATCTTTTTAGTTGCAGCTGATACTTTTTTAAAATGGGAAGTAATCACAAAACTAATCCTAATGAAGATCTGGCAAATGTTTGTAGTGGGCACAACAGTGTGCTTCACAATTGGAATGTCAGGAGTTCGACTCTGGGCTCCAATGGTTTCCACACTGACATGGTGCAGAGCAAAAACAACTGAACCCAAATTGCTTGTCATGCCCAATATTTAGTGGACTTAATAATGGGGTCAAACTCTTGATGTTGGAAGTCCAAGTCCTAGTCACCAAGGAAAAGAGCTGGGTCTTTGTTGGGTCCCCAAAGTCTCAGAGGTTCAATTGTGTCTTGATGTCCAAATGGACAAAGAAAAAGACTTGAGACTTAATTTTCAACAAAGAATTCAAGACAAGGTTCCAAGCCCAGGTACCACTAAAGGGTTTAGTCCTAGTCCTAGTCCCCATAGCAACGAGACAGAACCCATGTCACTAAAGAAGTAGTTTACACTGAGCCTAAGCCAAGGTCTGAATCAGAATCCAAGTCACAGGAGAAAACTGGTGTCCAGTCCAAATGAAATCCCCAGTTTGTAGTCACCAGGTCAATATAGAAAGGTCAACGACTGAGTCTTAAGATTTAAAGTGAATATCTAAGAACACACATTTAACTCTTTGGTTTGGTTCATTTCTACGTTGACTTGACTCTGTTGGCTCACAAACCAAGACCCAAGTTGTTGGACCCGAGTTTGTTTGTTTGATCTGATCCAGAGCTCATACAAAGTGGACTACCTGAGAAAATCAAACTCTGGTTCTGGTTTAACGTGAACCAAATAGCTCTGCTGTGAAAACTTTTTTTTTTTACTCAAACGCCACAGCACTGCTGTGTGATCACAGCGTTGACGTGAGAAGACTGCTGAGACAAACTTCACATGCTGTTCTTCCTGAAGGGGGATCTTCACATTTACAGTCTTTTCCAGTCTAAGGTGTCCTTTCAGCTGATGCTCAGCTGATATTAGCACTGGCAACACCTTCATTTTGGCGTAAGCCTTTGTGAGCAAGAAAAGAAACCTGATGCTTTGGCGTTGAGCGGTTTTATAAGAAGCACCAGAGCTCAGGCTGAGATTAGCACCAAGGAACTGTTGACTGCAAGAACAAAACTCAAAACAAACACAGAACAAAGATGTTTTCATTTGGACTTTTAGCATTCTGTGAGTTAGCCCACAGATTTAGCATTGTAGATGCTCGAGTGAATGTGGCAGAAAAAGATATATATATTAAAAAGACATATGGAGACAGAAGGGATTTGTTATAAAGTAAATAAAATTAGCATGAGTGGACGCGAATGGGCTTAGGGCTTCCTTATCTGGACCATCGAACATTGGTACAAAGTTGTACTTAAAGCAAATATTTTCCCTGTGTTGCGGTGCATCATCTGTCTTTGAGGTTAATACCACGAGATAGTGACAGACACGATTTACCTTCAGATTTACGTCTAGTTTTTTAACATTATCAAATATCCCTAAAGTTTTTATGGTGAGATTTGGAACATATGTACGCAATCTTCTCAAGGAGCTATAATAGTGCAGATGTAGGACTCGTGCCTGCCACTAGTGGGACTCAGTTCCCTCTTTTCAGGCAGCCCCTAATAAAGACACACTGAAAGAGATTCTTCTTTCTAAAAAAAAAAAAAGAAAGAAAGAAAAGTAGTCTAGACTGTTGAGATGGTACGACCCCTGCTGCCAAAGAAGGATGTGGGTTCCTGTGAGATGAACCTGAATCTTTCCTCAAGCATCACTTCTTCCCTCTGGCATCATTAATGCCACCTACTGGGTGTATTTTCCACTTGCTAACATTTCCACAAATAGACATCACATGTTGCAAAAGCAGGGCTGAGAGAAAACACAGACAGAGGGTAGTGACGTACACTTACTGAAATTAGTCAAACTACTGTAGTACTACTGTAGTACTATTCTCCCTTTGTTTTAAATTATACCTAACATTATTATTATCAGAACATGCTGGCATTAGCATTAAGGTGATGCTCATTAGTTCTGATCACTCTGTCGTGGTGTTGTCACAGTGGGAGGTGATACGAGGAGCTTGGTCTCCTGCCAGCACATTCTTTGGACATTATATCTGCTGCTGCTGCTGATGCTGCTGCCGCACACATGTCACACACAGCGCTCCAATAGGAAGCAGCCCGTCGTCTCCAGCATCTGCTGTTTGACTCTCAACACACACGTACTCAGGTGAGAGTAAAACTTCTTCTACCTTTTTGTTTTACCACCGTGTTTACTTTCTGGACAGCTAATGTAGATGGACAATCTGAACAAGTACTTCCTGTGGTGTTTTACCATGTTAGCAGTTGATTTAAAATCTGTTTTCTTTAGGACGATGTCGGAAGAGAATCTTGAGGAATTCATCATTTTGTTGCTCGACATGTTGTTTTTCACACGTCGCGTCTGTCACTGCTACTCCTCGGGCCCAGTCACTCATCAGATATGGTAGTGAAGCGGTGGAGCTCGTATTATTAGCCACACTGCTCAACAGTGAGATGATGCTGAATATAGTGAAGGCCATTGTTCCGGTCGTAGCCTCGCTTTAATCCTCTTGTCAGAGGGATGCTGTCGACTGGCTGCTATGTGGGGCCATGACGGCTCGTGTTACACTATGGTTCAATGGGGTGACTCATTATCCCTAAAGTGCATTAATACATGATAGTATTTTAGGATTGGTATATGAATATGCTTTCATAAATGACTGGACCTTATTCATTGACTCGTCTCCATTTCTTATTGTGCTCTTTGCAGTTCCCGGAGATGGACACACACTCCTCCAAAATGAATCCTCGAGGGGAAAAGGTGAGGCGGTTTATATTCTGCAGTGTTAATCCTCCGTGCATGAAGACAGGGGACACTTTGCCCTTAAAGAACTGGCAGTCTTTCCAGACTGTTATCGACATGGCTGAGTGCTTTCCACTTGACTTCATCCTAATAATAAAGCATTATCTGCACACATGGAGCACATAGGCAAGGCACGATGTCCTCAACTCAAGTCTTTCTGTGCATACTTTACTGCATATGTACAGCACACACATGTCTGGACAGCTGAGCCAGAGGTATTTTAATGTGAACGGTCCAAACCCATGTCTTCAGCTTGACAGTATGAAGGAAGCTAGATCAACTTGTCAAAGATGTCGACCTTGAAAAACTTGGATGCTGCATAATGTCAGAAAATGTACATTATATTTATGTTTTCTAAATGTTATTTCGATTTTCTTGTTTCTCCAAATTGAATTTTACTTTGTTTTTGTTTTTTTTTCTCCTCAGCCCAAGTCGAAAATCACGGCTTCTCGCAAGCTCTCGCTGAAGGTGAGTAGCTGCAACAGCTTTCTGTCTTTCTACTGTATATTATCTAGGAAATGGTCGATGACAAAGAAAGGTCTGAAAACCCTTTGAAAAAAACACAAAAATATCCAAATATTATAAAGCTATCCATGCATCTTCTACCACATAATCCTTAGCAGGGATGGGTTGGTAGCCTATCCCAGTTGTCAACTGCAGAGGGCAGCATACACCCAGGTGACTTTACCTAGCTAAAATGTTATTTTAATAAAAAGTGTGAAACATTCAGATTGGTTCCAACGCTCCATGATCCCGTTGCCAAAATTCCAATATTTTTTGGGCAAAACAAACAAACAAATTAATAAGTAAGTAGAATATTAGCTAAATATAAATGTTTGCCCAATGGCTGTATTTTGTTCCTGTCTGGTGTAGAGTCTCTCAACAAAGGTCAGTGTTCTAGTTAGCTAGAAGTCACTAGTACTGACTTCTCCTTTGTCCAATCAGATGCTTCTTCTCACTAGAGCCTGCGAGGATTTGGAAAAAGAGAGACAAGATAGGGAGGAGGAGAAAGATCGATATATCGGAGAGAAGCTGCCTCCTCTACAACTGCATGGACTGTCACTGGATGACCTGAAAGTGAGTTTTAACCAAAAAATACCATTTCTACACTCAGTATTCAGTCCCATTCAGATGTGTCCATGACTCGGAGTGTTTTCAATGTTATGGTCCACAGGCTCTGTGCAGGCAGCTCCACGAAAAGATTGATATTGTGGACGAGGAGAGATATGACTGTGAATACAAAGTTGGCAAGCATAACAAAGACGTGAGTCTCACACAGGAAAGACGAGGTCTTTGTCTTCTTGAAGCACACGATCTTCCTAAACGTCTCTCGTTGAATTGCCTCAGATCCACGAGCTGAAGTTGAAAGTGCAGGATCTGGGAGGCAAGTTCAAAAAGCCGGCTCTGAGGAAGGTGAGGGTGTCTGCAGACGAGATGATGAGAGCCCTGCTGGGCTCCAAACACAAGGGCTCCATGGACCTCCGAGCTAACCTCAAGTCTGTGAAGAAGGAGGACGTCAAACAGGACAAGGTAATGAAGGACTGTCCACTGCTGAGCCAGTCGATCTGTGGATAGTCTAAGTTAGAAAAGAGCAGGCTCAGTACAAATAAACGGAGTATTTTTTTTACTGCAACTAAAAGCAAATCTGAATCAATTTACATTCTTTCTAATGGTTCTTTCTAAATAGTCACCAAGTTTGTTGTGCTTAGGTCGTTCAGTTTTTATGGGATTGACTTTATTGCATGGATTCACTAAGCCGTATGAATCGATTAATCCAGAATCTGAAAAACAAAAGCTAGAAGTTTTTTTTGTATTTTTATTCTGCTTAAAATCAGAAAAAAAACTTCTGAGGTCAGTTCCCTTTTTTGGTTTGTCAATCATATTAAGTTGATGAGCAACCCCAACTCATGTTTTTGTTGTAATTCCAGGTGCTTACGTCTGAAGTGGGCGACTGGCGTAAGAATGTGGAGGCCATGTCTGGTATGGAGGGTCGCAAGAAGATGTTCGACACAGGCGGTGCCGGGCAGTGAGACAGTGAGCGACTGAGAGAGCTGATCAATCAGGGAGAAAAGAATACAAACAACATCAAAGTAAAAGTGCTATTTTAATTATAAGGGCTTAAAATTCTCAGCGACATCCGGTGTGCCTCGTTTTAGAAGAAGTTCCTTGTAGGACGTCTTTATTGTTTAAAAATCACAGAGCGTACAATCCAGACAGATCTTTTTTTTGTTTTGTTCTAACATCCATTCTTGGTTATAAATAAACATAGTGATTGATGTTCCATATCTGTTCTTGACTTTATCCTCTTTCATTTTGCTGGCTCTGACGGTGGATGCACGTCATGTATGAGGAGAGATCTAAAAAAGGGAAGATGAACAGTCACAGTGTTGGAGAACAACAGGTGATAACTCCATAAATTCAACTTCATAATGTTTAAATAGAACTTGTAGACATTTGTGGGAAGGAGGATATAAATGATTTAAAGGACTGGATTTGTCTAAAGTTGCAACAAGAAAAAGAGAGAGCCTGCAGTTTTTATATACAGTGCAGAAGTTCAAAAGGTCAATTGTTCTCAATTAGTAACAAAAAAATATATAAAAATATAATTCCAGTAATGCAATTCCTGGGGAAGGTAAGTATCAGGTCAAAAGACAAACTTTTAAGAACATTTTTTTTCTACTTCTACTTCAATGCTCAAAATATCCTTACTATTACAATGCAGCATAAACTGTAGTACTGTAGGTTACCTAGGTGTTCAATTTAGACACAGGAGGAATCCTGCATTTTTTCTAAATAAGGGAGGTTGATGTTGTACAGCAAAAGTAATGATTTTTTTTCTTTTTTTAAGTCTGCCACTATATTTCTGGTTCTTTGCATACAGTATGATAACTCGGCCTTGTTGGACTAAATGTACTAAATCTTTAGAACAACAGATACATACTGTGCAGTATGTACTCCCTCACTTTTTCAGTTTTTAAAACAGATACAACTACATCAATTGTGAAAACCCTGAAAACTCCTCAGCCTGGTGTATTTTTAACCACATTGTTGATGCCCTTCATCATTCCCGTTCTTGAACAGTTATTTACAGCCGGGTATCATAAGCTGCTGGTATTGTTTCTCACATTCATTTGCCGCTTGTGAGCTGTGGGCCATGTGTCAGAGGGTTTGCTGCTGCCCAGTTATTTAAAGTATGACTGTGTCACTGACAACAGTCACAAGAACTCAGAATTGAACTTTGAGAGATCTGGGATTTTTGTATCATCAGCATATATAGTGAGTGACAAAACATCCAATAACAAACCTGTGTGATCTCTGGTTCCAATGGGAACCAAAGATATTTTTGTGGGATTTCAACACGCCTTGCACTGCTGACATTTGTGGAAGAATGATGTACAGCATACGCACTCCGGTTCTAAATATAGGATATGACAAGAGCGACTTTTACATCACGCAGAGCAAATGTCCAGATGTGATGGCTGGAGTTTGACACGTCAACACCACAGCGGTGTGGCCATTAAATCAAAATGTTTTCCTGCAGCCTGCATGCCTCTGGATGACAGATGGATAACAAGTGCGAGCTTTAGGTAACCACTCCAGCCAGAGCCTGGGCTCACTGGTTACACTTGTGTTGTGCTGTTGCTGCCACTTGGTGGCAGCCCTTAGTAACACAATGCCCCAAAAATGTATCCTTAACGGTTGAAACCACAAACTTGAAAGTAAATAAATGTCATTTATGTGATAAACCAACACAAAGCAGTGCCTCATTGTGGAGGAGAAATAAAAAAAAGATGTATTGTTCCTCAAAGTACATAAAAATGCACTTGTATTCAGCCGTAAAAATCCAGGTGCACGAACAAACAGCGTCGTGAAAACCAAGGAACACGCTGAAAAGAGCAGAAATAAAAGTGTAGTGCAGTTTAAAACCGTGTTAGGTTGAAAGAAAAAAAATCAAAGAGAGTTGTAATTAGTTTGTGTGGAAATGTTTTAAGTTCTACTGAAACAAATGTGAAATGAATAATAACTAAGAAAAGCCAATGTAAGGATTGCTTGTGTATTCCTTCCTTTTCCTTCTTTATTTTCTCCCTCTTTCCTAAATACTGGATGGTTGTGCGCTCTAATTTGGTTGTCAATAGTATTTATCAAACTTATTCAGCTCTATTTTTCTTTTTTAAAACAGAAACCCAATATACGTAATATTCACTGTAAATACATTCCACCAACTCCCTCACTACAGCTAAAACAAATAAACGTGACTTCACCTTGGTCCACTACAGCTAGGGCTAAACAAATAAACGTGACTTCACCTTGGTCTAATCAAGCACAGGTGGATCACATCAGGGTGAGAGAGCCAATCAACCAGTTTCCTCTCTCTCTCTCTTTCAAACTTTTCCTAGTCTTTTTCAGGAACCCAACGGACAGCAGGTGCTGATCTATACTCAGTAAGTAAGTTCTGTTATTTTTCCCTAATTTTCTAGTAGTTTATTCATATGCGTTTATCTGTATAAGTCAAAAACTTAACTCTGCTCTCTTGTGCTTTAACCAGTGAAGTGTATTTTCCTCTGATAAGGACTGAAATGTGCATAATTGGCATCATGTTTAGTTAAAAAATGTTTAATATGTATTTAGGCTATATATATATTTATATATGTAGAAAATTATTTCCAATGTCATAAATCAAGTCAGTACAGCCCTGTATTTCCAAAAGGGTATTTGGAAATACAAGGTATTTCCTACCATTGCTAAAAAGCTAAAAATAATTGAATACATTCATATAGGAAATTAAATGGCTCAAGTTAGCCAAATCACAATATCTGACTAAAGGTTAGCCCACACAAAGGTAAAAAAAAAATAGCCTTGAAATTTTTATTTAAAATATGTGTAGAAAAAGTTATCCTCAAGTAGCTAAAACTTTTTCAAAGCTATTTAGCTCAAGTAGCTTAAAGCCAGGTAACCATGTTATGTTAGCATAGGAAATGCTTATAGTTTGAAACACTGGTGATAAAAACCTGTGTTATGTTAGCATAGGAAATAGTGAAATATGGCTTTTAGTTTGAAACACTGGTGATAAAAACCTATAAAATTCACCTTTCTTCATCATTGTGACCTAAATACGTCATGGTCACCTTGACAGTCCTCTGGATTCACGTCCGTCATTATGGATTGTGGAAGTTCATGAAGAAACTGTCAAACGCAGTCACAGGGTTTGATGGATTACTGGGGCGTGACAGTAAAAGATAACCGTTACAGCTGCAAACCTTTAATGATGTTTACACAGGAATAAAACACAGGCGGAAGTGTGTGTCACTGTGTAAATACTAGCTGTGTGTGTGTTTGTGTCACTCGGTTGAATTGCCGCCCTCTATCAGAGGCTTTTAACGTCAATAACTCGCTCATCTGCAGACAAGTGCACTGCGGTGTTGGCAGTAATTAATCTCCGTGCCTGACGTTAATGACTTAATTCTGACGTCTGCTCTTATCACTGTGTCTCGAATGTTCCAAAGATATTGGAAAATTAAAGTGTTGTTTTTTTAAGACAAAGTTGCAGTTTATTTATTTATTTTTTTTAGACTAATCTCCCGGTTCTAATGCACTTACTCTACTGCTAGCTTTGAGGCTATTCGTTCAAGGTTGGCTAACCTACACTTATGTCTACGTTAACCGATATGTAGCGATAAGCCTTCGGTTAATTGTTTTTCCTGAAGTCTAATGCAGTACTAGTTGTATTTCATTAAACATTGAATGTTTTAGAGTTATTGTTACGATATATTTTAATGTATATAGCATATGTTTTCTTTGCTCTAAAAAAAAAAAACAACAACTCTTTGTCATTTTACCCTATTATTAACGTCGCTCATGTTAAGGGTGAGTTGAGCAGACTCACTTCCGCTTCATTAGACCCTGACACTAATTAACAGGAAGTTCTTGGTGCTAATCTTTGGGTTCTTAAAGTGACAGATCATGAATAAACATCACACACGTGTTTGAATCAGAAAGGCAGAGATGTAACGAGGTCAGCTCCACGTGCAGGTCCACGAAAGTCAGTCAAATTGCGACTCAGACCAGAGCAGCTCAGGGAGACGCCACACCAACCGAAAGTCTATTTGAACTTAGTCAGTGACTGTTTCTGTCAAACTGGTTGATATTTCTTCTTTAAATTTCCCTGATGGTTAAGACTGAGACACCAAAAAAAGACTGGAGTTTTTTTTCTTCTTTCTGCTTGTTCCAGTTTGCAGAGATCGATGTTTTCCACACAAAACAGAAATACAATAAACCTGCGTCCCACCTAAACTTTATAAAATGTGCATTGCATATTATGTATCTACCAAAGGGAAAATATAGAAAAAAGTCACTTTATCAATTTCCTGCAAGCTTTTTATTCTAATCCAGAAGCACAAAGTCTGTGGAAATGTAATGTTTATGCAACAACAAAAATAAATAAATAAAAATAATTTTACAAAAATTCTATCTCTCAAAATTTTCACCTACTAAATATTAGTCGTCAAACACAAAAAAATAAAATATCGTGATTATGAAAAAGTACAACAAGGAAGCAGTAGTTTGTAGTAGTTTAGAGGAAAATCTATTTTTTAAGGTAAGGTACAAAAAACAAACAAACACTGAGGTAAAAACGTTAGCAGATGTAAACATAAATGTATGTATAATATAGGCAGGAAACTACGGAGTCCGTAAAGGACATCACAGACAAGAAAAAGAAGTCAGGCCTAAGTCCAAATCAAAAGCTGTAGAGTGACCTGAAGAGGGCAGTGTTCTCAAAATCTGATTTGTACTGCGTTCGAAAGCAAAACAAGGCAAGCCTGAGTGCCTGTTTTAAAATAAAATGTACAAATTATTATTATATTATTACGGACAGGAAATGTTCTACATTTAACTTACGTCTTTGTTATAGAGAAAATATTTGACTTTCTAATTATTTCTGTAAAAGTTATATCTGTCGAAATATATGACGTATTACAAATTTCCTGAAATCTCACGCAGGTGCCCCCTGAAGCGACGTCGCCATGGCGTGTTGTCAGTGCGCGCTGACGTCATCAGCCGTTCACTTCTGTGCTCCGCCTCCTGAGTGGTTCCGAGAGTGGGAGAGAGCTAGAGAGAAAGAGGGGCTACGAGAGAGAGAGAGAGAGAGAGAAAGAGGAGGGGGGAGAGAAAAAGAGGGGGGAGAATACCAATCCTCTCCTGAGCCTACAGCCGTCAGACGGCCGTCGGAAGCTCCCGTAACTCCCTGCTCAAGGCCTCAGCTCCAAAGAGCCAGACTCGGAAGACGCTGAAGCAGGACGAGGCGAAGCTGTTTTTTTTCGCGGCTCACAGCGACAGTCAGTGATGGAGAGCCTGCTGGATAATCCCATGAAAGCTGTCCTGTACCTGAAGGAGCTCACCACCATCGTCCAGAACCAGCAGAGCCTGATCCAGACGCAGCGCCAGCGCATCGACGAGCTGGAGCGCAAGGTGGAGGACCTCATCGGCGAGAACCGACTCTTGAGGGACCCCCACCACTACGTTCAGCAGCCGGCTCCGCTCCAGCTCCAGCACCAGCTCCAGCATCAGCTCCAGCATCAGCATCAGCATCAGCAGCATCACCACCACCATCCAGCCGCTCAACGCCGCGTCAGTCCGCCGGCGCCGGCG